ACCGTACACCGTAGGCTTACTTGCAAGTGTAATTAATTACAAATTGAACATGATTTTCTGATTTATTTTAGGTCTCTGTTTTTAAGGTCTCTGTTTTAGTATAGCTTGGTCTCTGTTTTTGAGAATCGATTACGAAAACAGAAACCGCGACATTCGAAAACAGATACCCGGTATTCGAAAACAGACGCTAGATGGTCCCTGTTTCCTAGTTTGTCTCCGGTCTCGGGTCTCTGTTTTCGAGGCCTCTGTTTTCGAGAAACCCCCTCATATACCTACATTAACAAGTTGATGGCACAAAAAAAAAAGGTTCTCAAAAACTGAGAGGGCTGTCTCTTATACACATCTAGATGTGTATAAGAGACAGCTTACCGTACACCGTTATTTCATGCCTCTGCTGGTCCATTTTTGCACACCCAGGCACCTCTCCCTACCCCCAATTTAAAACCTGGCTACGGCCCTGTATACATGACGACAAATTTGGCGAAAAATCTGGCTCAAATCTGATTGTTCGTCAATTTTTAACAGCATTGGTTGCAGCAGAAAATCATAGTAAGATTCAAGATTCATTTATTGACTTGTCCATAAAAAAATACAGATATAAAAATGGAATTTTGAAATAAAAAAACATTAAAATATTAAGTATCTACAATACGTTAAAATCATCGATGTTAAAAAGATATTAAGAATCATTGTTAATTTTAAAAGATGCTAATGTAAAATAAGGCACAATCATTAATTAAAAATTGGGTAAAAACGTACAATATAAAATGTATCTATGGGTTTTTCTGTTACATTCTAAAGTTCTAGTAGAACTTGGTATCAAGGAAATTCGATATCGTTCAACTCTGGTATTGATTGATTGTAGACGCCCACCGGACTGCAGATAATTAACATTACTCCAAGCATGGAGGTATGAAAATTTAGGTTTGCTAAGTAACAATTCCAAATCCCTCAGACAAGTACCGAAGTTTATGCAAACTCCTTCTTCCCCCGCACTATTAAAGACTGGAATCTCCTGCCCGATATTATTAATTGCAATATAAACCCCGACCCCTTCAAATCTGCACTTTCACAGCAAAGCAACGAAAAATAATTTTAGACCGACCACTCTCTCCACGCCTCCTGTTAAAATCCCTGGGATATTAGGAGGATAACCAACCAAGTACCAAGTAGCAACCATACACACAATATAAACAAATAGACAAATACTAATAACAACAGTGCTCAAATAGGAACATAAGATGCTATAATCGTATCAAACATACACTTAGACCTTCAACGAAGGTTCCTTTTTCAGTTTTTTTAAATTATACAATAGAAACCCTATGCTAAGTAAGGTTTACCGCATTTAGGCTATACAAAGTAACATGCACTAGGCATATACCAATGTCCATTCTAAGGAAGGAAAGAAATCTGGTTTGATGTGTCAAAATATAGCCTAAATTTGAATTATTTTTCCTTACTTTGCGCTAAGTGTCTCCTTAATAGAAGTTAAATTGTATTGGTTTAACCATTTTGCACAATCATAAAGTGTCTCCGTCTCCCTTAATAGGATTTGGCTATAGTGCGTTAAAAGATATATTTCCCCTCGTTCACGGATTGCTCACAAGGTGACAAAATATAAATTTGAATGATTTTTCCTTATTTTGCAACCGTAATTGTTTTGATGCATAAAGAAAATAAGTCACCCCTTAGTAGGAGTTATTGTATTGATTTTGACTATTTTGCACACTCAGAAAGTGTCTCCGTCCCCTTATGGAGTTTTTTAGTTATTAAAATTAATTAAGTTTTTACAGTTGATGTACGTTGGACGCATGAGCGTACTTGGTGTTGTGTGAGCCACTGTGGTTATGAATGAGCTCCAATAAATCTCTCATAGCATAACAGTAAAAACATCGAACGATTGATTATTAATAATAATGATAATAATTTATTCAGAAACTACACTTTTGAAACAGTGGCACACTTCACATGATAAAGGTGCGTCCAAAAATAATACTTCAAACAGAATACAATACACTAAAGAAAACAAAGTATAAATTGAGTAACCATCACTCAAGCATTTGACAAGCACTCCACACTCCCCTCCCCCATCCAAAACCCACCCTCATCAAAGTATTGTATGCAATGATGCCTCAATAGTCATGTCAATCCCCCGAGTGACCCTTATTCAATTAAAAGTAAATATATATAAAACGAAGTAAACAAAGAACTAAAAATTCTAAAAGTAGTAAAAAAAAAAAAAGAAAGAAAAGAACGACAAAGGAAAATGAATTAAACTTGAAAAACAAATACATAAAAATAATTAAAAAAACAACAAAGATGTTTAGATTACCGAACATCCCTGCGAGCATACATTTCCCTCATTAACTCATCAATAACAAGTTAATCTTCCTCACCAGAGCACAAAATTTACTATCACCCCAGTGATCCCCCTCCCAGCCCATATAGTTAAATGTGAAAATACTTAAAATGTCTCCCTCCCCATGAATATTTAAAGATTTAATTCCTTTCTTTATACTCTTATATCATTTAGCAATGTAGATACAAACAATCAATTAAAAAAGTTACAGTTAGGGCATGGAATTTATAATTTCACTTCGCAGTTTCCATGCCCTTTTAATAAAAAATATCTTCACATTCACTGTTGATAGGAAGAGTCGAACATCCCAAATATATTTAAATTTAGTATTTTCATTTGCATGAATTTATAATACAGTTTATAGTTGCCAGTGTGTACTAAATCTTTGTGTAAGGTATATATTTCGTCAATGCTAATGTTATTTAGAGCCGGACAACTAAAAATATAATGGTGGATATCCTCATCAGAATTAAGATTGCATAATTTACATTTCTTGTTATTATCCGGATTCCATTTGAAGTTCTATTGATTAATGGTAATGTATTAGATCTGAGTTTGAATTTTAATGGATTCCTTCAAAATCAATTTTGTTAATAAGGTAATTTTCGAGTTCAGGTTTTAATTTCAATGTCGCATACTCTTGGAGAGATGATTTGTTTTGAAGATCCGTTCTCCATGTATCTATCCTAATTATATCAAATTTTCTCAAGATTTCGGAACATGGATAATAAAACTCTATATTGTTCAACAGAGCTGTGAAGATATCATTTGATTTACATTCACATTTCATATGAATTTATCATGTGGAAAGAGAAATTGCACACGTCAAGTAAAAAAATGTAATAGCGCACTCTATACATCATAACGCTTGTTGGTTTTTTTTTTTTTTTGCACACAGAAGCTCTCGGCCGGGCGCGCAGCGGCGGCGGAACTATATCACGCAGCGTCGCTTATCACGTTTCTCAAAGGAAAGCCCACACGAGTCATCACCAATTCTAAAATCGATTGGGCAATATAAAAGAAGAAATATGTTTTGGGGTGAGTTCTGAGCAAATCTTTATACACTAAGTTTAAGTAGATATCTTTGTGTACAATACTTTGATATTTTTGTCTTAAAAGCGTTTGTAGTTTCACATGAAACTAGTTCAAGTTGGGAGTGTTTGCATTCTCTTTGCTCTCTGCAAAGCAGCAGCTTTTGTATTGTGCTGCTGAGTGTGAGAGTAGAAAACATCAGAGCTGGCTGAGAAAGTATGACACACTTACCGTTGTTTGGATGTTCAAGAAAGAAATCATGTCATGTTGAATAACTCAGCTCTCTCTGACTGTGTGTTAGTTTGCCTTATTAGACTAATCAGCACTATAATCTAGTCCCTAAGTGTAGTAGGCCCTATTCTAGTCACGTATTTATAAAAAAAATTACCAAAATAAACAATTATATAGGCCTGTTACTATTAAGAATGACAACACAGTGGACTTCACAGACAGGAAACTGTACACAACATCCACACAGTGGACTTCATCAGGAGACTACAAAACATTTGTACAGTCTCCTGATGATGTCAAAAAAATTATAAAAAATTTAAAATAAATAATATTTGCTAGAATGAAATAAATTCAAAAATAAATTTGAGCACACGTTGCACACAAGCTGCATTTAATGGGAGGAAGTGCTGCATTTTCCAGCGATGTCCAATAACCAATTCTGAGATCTGTCTGAGATGTCACTGTGTGGGATGAAAGATGGAGCCAAAATATTCTATAATTACAATGCATAATTATTCGAATAAATTCCCCCTCCAGAGCCTCATTTCGTTTGAACACCTTCCTCGAATAACTAAATTGTGGCCTGGGGGGGGAGGGGGGTTATTTTTTTTCTCAAATAAATAACTCTTCCTCCCCAAAATGACTGAAAACAAAACTAATGGTCAGACAACTCTATTAATATTAATGTGGTTGGGATCAATAAGTTTTTATGATCACGCATTAACACATTTCAATGTAATTATGTGTTGTAGTACATTTACAGTGAAATTAAGGGGCGATTATTTGACGCATCCATTTTATGTCTCCCACGAAAAGGGACGTTTATTCAAATATATTTTAGTCTTAAAAGTGCTGTTGTCATTTCTTATATTGTCCTGTAGCAGCCTAACATGGCTGCATATTTTATTCATCAAAATAAACATGTCTGCCCTTGGCCTTGTCTATCCGAGATCAGAAGGAACATGGCTTTTTTTTCCCTTCTTTTTTGTTTTGTATATATCTTAGGCCTGATGTTATCATCATTGTTGATGAGAGGCGGCCACACAATATTTATTTAATTTATAAGCCATGAAATACTCACACCTGGGGCTAAAACATAGCGTGAGCCACTTCACAACGGGTCAACATTGCAAGCTGGGGTAACTATGCATGGCCGGCTTTGCTTGAATGTTACAGAATATATAAAAATCATTGTAGTGAGTGTTTAAAATACTACTAGGCCAGCAGACCTAGGTACTGTAGGCTAATTAATTTGTCTAGTCTAGACACAGGCTGACTGATTTTCGCTGCGATTTGCGATCTGGAATTTTAGGAGTAGGTTGATGACTTGTGTATTTCTGTGTTGAAATTCAATTTAAGATTTCTTGATTATACACCGAAGTATAGTATGGTAAGCGTTGATGAGGGCTTGTCAGACCTTGCATACAAGTACCTTCCATTTAATATACTGTAGATCCTCAACATTACAGTAGGCTAATATGCATACTGACAGCACATTAAGTACATACTTTTGATGAAAATGTAGACACTACAAGGGGCTGTCCAAAAAACATGCATATCATGGTTTTTGCCTTCTTAACTGTCTTGTTGTGAGTTCATTAATTAGGCCATATCAGTGAAGCATAAATTACTACCATGGAAATTCATGAATATGTTTTACCGTAGCTGTCCACCCAAATCGGCAGTCGTAGCATAACAAGATTTCCGCGTTGTGATAGATTTTGTGAATTAGTACACTGTAGTAACTACTGTATCTTCTTAATGTGGGAAAATTTCAGGTAAATTCACACAGCACAAATTCCCTGGTTGTAGACTTAACAAAATACTGACTGCTAGCCAAATTAAAAACCTGTTTTTGTGTCTGCTGTCCTGCAGTTGGTCTCTGTGATTCCGAGTTACTTTTTTCTTACATCTTCATTAATGAACTTGGATATTGCTGCAACAAGAGCATTTTCTTTTTGATTTAATAACTGATACTGTAGTTCTGTTTTGATATTGATTTATGAAAATTTCCTATGCCTACTCTACAAAAAGTAATTTCGATCTCGGCGAAACGTGTTGGACGTATGTGGCTGTGACAAGGGGAAACAGTCAAATTTCGGTAAAACAAGTTTGGAGTTATTAATAACTTGTAAAAATATGAATCCTAAACTTTACGAAAGTGAAAAATCAATCTTTTCCGATCAGTATTTACGAAGTTATAATTGTTTTAATATCAAAATATTTGTCCTGTTTACAAAATGCGTAAGCAAGAAAAACAATGACAAACATCATCTTCATTTATACTGGACGCGTTACTGGCATAGCCGACTCGCTTTTCGGGGTAACCTACTTTACTCCTTAGCAACAGGGACTTAACATATTACAAATTTGTTGATATTTTAGCAAATTTGTTGTTTATAATATTTCCAATACTTTTGCCAAGTCTTGTTAGGATTCAATATCAATAATGTAGTAGTAGGATGATTAGTGCCTGTGAAATTTGTGCAAAATTTGTAAACATTAACACACAGAAAGACGATTATTTTTTCATGTGGTAAACACAACAGGTCAAAGTAATTCGTTCAAAAAACACTTATCTATTCAATAATTATTTTAAGCTATACCGTATATTCCGGTGTATAAGCCACACCTGTGTATAAGCCCCCCCCCCTAATTAGGACGCGAAATATGATTTTTTTGTGTCACCTGTGTATAACCCGCACTTATTTTTAAGCTCCAAACTGTTCCCATAATGTTAAGTTTTTAATTATTTTGAAACATTGACCTCATTTACAAACGTTCACATAAAGAAATTTCATCTTTTTCGGCTAATTATTAAACAACAAACAACTGGAAATGCATGTAAACTTCTGGCTACCACAATGAAACAATGTATTCTTGCTCTAGGGAAATCCCATTTCATGCTATACAATCGCGCTACGTTAAATTTTCGACATCAGTTTAGTTTAATAAAATAAAATACTTATTGAGTATATTTACAGTATCTATTTTAAACAATCATTCTATTATTATGGGGAATAATAACAGTCAGTATTAAGCTAAATATATTAAAATTCTAGGCCTAAGTCATTACTACTCACAGCCCACTGTGCGAAGCATGCACTCATCACGCACCACGTTTTATAAACATAAACAGAAGTGGAGAAATATCTTGTGATACAAAGTTTACGCATGCGCAAATGACAAATGCCTTTCTAAGGTTAAATTCCAGTAAAATAATTATTATAACTTCAAGAAAACTTGTGTTTTTATAGCATAAAATAATTTCACAAGTTTTTATTCTGAAATTATAGTGGATCATTCCCCCTATAACAGTACAAGCCACCAGGAACCAGACATCGAACAGCAAGTTTCAACAACCAGCCCATGTGTGTTCTGTTGCGACATCGTAAATGAAGCTGCTCACGTGACCTCGAGGACCAAACTTGCGAAAAGCAGTTTAGTAGTTTTTGAGCGAAGCGGTTTCGAACAGAAACAGCGTGTTTCAAGATTGTTTATGAATGAATGTAATTATGAATGAATTATTTAGACAACCCAAACCATTTGCTTGAATGTCGTAGAAATCGTAGTAGGAATCACTGTAGTGAGTATAATTACAAATACTAGGCCTACAAACCGGTCCTACCCTAGCCAATGTTGTTCGGCAACTATGAACTCTATTATAAATTCATGCAAATGCAAATACTAAATTTAAATATATTTGGGATTTTCGACTCTTCCTATCAACAGTGAATGTGAAGATATTTTTGATAGATTCTGCAAAAGGTACATTAAAAGGGCATGGAAACTGTGAAGTGAAATTTATAAATTCCATGCCCTAACTGTAACTTTTGTTATCATAAATTTTCAAGCAAAGCACGAGAAAGCAGCTTTTTTGTTGTTTTTGTGAGGTTTTTTTTTAAGAAACTGGGAGAACTACAGTAGGAGATTGAAAATTGGTGAGAATCCTGATCAAAATGTTGGAATAGTTCGAAAGTTTGCATTTTTCTAATTTATCAAATTCTAACCTTTTCTGTGTGAATGTAAAAGTCTTTAGCCTGGTTCACGTCGAACTTTATCTGGATATACCCGTCTTGAAACATGATACGATAATCCCCTAATTGCGTTCGATGCCAAGTTAGAGCCAGATAAACAGCCAGCCAGTTTCAGGCCGTCGACGTCACACGGTGGAAAGGCTTGTTTAATAAAACATCTACTGTATTTTACGAACCTAGTACCAAGTGGTATTCGTTAAAAAAAAATAGTAAACTACTGTAGAGAAGGTGTCAGTTTCCACTACCTAACCTAGCCGACCAGTACGAACCAACGACAGTGCAGCAGCATGTTCTATCGCAATCTAAGTAGTAGATTCTCTAGGCCCTAGCTACATTTACCTTCGATAAAAAACGAATTATTTTAATCGCTAGCTAGCATTCTTCCATTTAACTTTAATGTTGTTTTCATTTTCATTAAAAGGTTAACGACTGGCGTTGGTGGTAGTTTGTTGAAATTGAATTAATAGCGACTATTATAGCAGAAATGGAAAAGATTGAATTGTCAATAAATAAATACAACAAATCTGATTTTATTATTAAGAAAAATATACATTATCACTTTGAAAAACGTACGCA